ACAGACTCACCTGTCAGATGCCTAGAGCACTTGCAGAGTAAATAGAGATCATCAGGGTTTCAACCTGTATGCCAGACCTGAGTTGCCACTTGGATGTGTTTCATTTTGCTAAATTACCTCTAGCCTCCTGTCTCTCTTGGTGTTTGGGGTAATAATCCCAATAGTACCCTCTTATCTGAGGGCTAACGAGGGTTGCTTATATATCACTGTGATGAAATATGTGGCAGAAACAACTTAAAAGAGGAAAGATTTATGTTGGCTCCATGTTTCTGCAGGTTCATCCAGTCCATGGTTGCTTGTCCCAGTGTGCTTGGCCAGAACATCACGTGGCAGAGGAGAGCTTTGCACTTGGTGACTGATGAGGAAACAGAAAGAGACAAGAAGTGACTAGGGATAATACATCTCTAACAACATAGCCCCCATTGACCTATTTCCTCTACCTAAGCCCCACCCCCTAAAGTTCCCACCAAGCATTCAATTCAAAACATGACCCTATGGAGGGCGTTTCAAATTTGAACCATAATAGGTAGGCACCCCGCCAAGGATAGCCCATGAGCATGAGGGAACTGCAACCTTGACAATACCAAAACAAGACAGGCAATACAACAGACACATGACACTCAGGAGATGATGTAGTTGGGATTTAGTGCCATCAGCAGTACAGAGTCACAGAAGACTAGAGAGCAAGGCAGTGCTCATGAATAAAACAGTTCGACATGATTTCCAGTCAGCATGGAACTCCTCCCTGGGCCTTACCTGGGCAGCCTCCACACAGAATTCCAGAGGCTGCCCAGTTAACTCCCCACCATTTCTCACGTGAACTTTCAAACACTTGGCATATGTTTACAAGAATATGACAGAACAACAGGTGGCTGCTGATTGTTTTCAAATCCGTGAACGTCCAAGTTTGGGTCAGACAAAAGACAGGGCCCATATATGCCTTGGCATAGGGACCTTGGACCCCAATAGCTCATTCTCAATCCTTTAACAGCCCCTCAATAAGTTATTCAGGGGGAAGGACAGTTCCCTGAGACGTCTATGGGATTTCTCTCTCTGCCTGGACCCACAGTCTAGGACTGTACCCACTAAACAGATGACCTTGCACAGAGTAGAAATGAATTGAGACTTGATTGCTTAGTGCTCTACCATTTTTGAGTGGTGTGCCAAATGGACACGTACCTTTACTTTCTGAGTCTACCATTTCATTGTCTAGAACCTAGTACATATGTTCCTGTATGTAAAGCCAAGTATGTAAAGCCAAGAATAGGGTTAGGAAAGTGAAGAGAAATATGCCATTATCTTAAGACTCAGAATTGCATGTGGGGTGACAAAAGAGCCCTGGTTATCTTTACCAGTCTACACAGTGAAGACTGCTGCACCATATGACAACCATAGGTAGCCCTGTTTCCAGCAGGAACTGGTCGAACCACTCACTGTGCCTCTGTGGTAGCCTATAAGATAGTCACCTACATATCTGGGCTACAGCGCTCTTTGATGACATGCCAAAGGCTAGTTTCACGGTGCTAACACCGAGCTCTTTGCCTGACCTTAATCCTTCTCAGCAATTGCTTAGGTCATAGACCTCCTGAAACCATGATGACAGCTATGGGGTCCGTTTTCCAGGGTGTGCACAATAATGTGGTCCCCAGAGTTTTCTGGAAAACTCCAGGGAAAATAGAACCTACTGATATCCATTGATCATGAGATTCCATGCCAGTAGGAGTGTGTGTCATAAAGGTACACAAAGCAGACCCCAGGGCTGCCTTCCTGGGATGTAACCTATAGAGAATGACAGCTGTTGGTGAGTGCTGGAGAGAAAACAAAGCGGGGAAGAAGAAAGGAAGTGCCGGAGACAGTGGTGGAGCTTTGAAACATTACACAGGGTGGCCAGGTAACATTTAGATCAAGACTAAAGGAAATAAGGGAGCTGGTGTATGACTGTCTGGGGGTAGTAAATTCCAGCCCTAAGGTAGAGCTAGTACAAAGGCCCTGAAGTGGGAAGGTAAGTAGGCTGCTGAAGGGTCAGGAGGCCCTTATAGAAGTGATGCATGGTGATGGAAAAGGCAGGGACACATGTCCCATATGGCCAGCTGAAGCCCTTCAGCTTTATGCAAAGTGAGTTGGGGAGCTGGTGCAGCAGAGGTATCCAGGGATAGAAGAAATAGGATGATCTTGCTGGAGGCTGCTGTGAGAGCCAGTGGGAGACATAGGTGGATAGAATCAGAGGTTCTTCACAAAGAACCAGAGAAGACTAAATTATGACTGTTTTGAAGCCAGAATTGTCAACGGACTGGATGCAGAGTGTGGGTGAAAGAGAAGAATCAAGAAAGACTCCAAGGAGGTGTGCCTAGGTAACTTGAAGAAACATGCTGCCTTGAGCTGGAATGTTCAACCCTGGACTAGGTATGCTGGGGGACCAGCAGGAGTTCAGCTCAGTTGGGGTCATGTGTAGATTGAGATAAATAATGACCTTTTAAGTAGAGGTGCCAGGCAGTTAGCCTTGGAACACATAAGCAACTGATCTCCTGGGCTTCACAGGACACTGGGGAAATGGTCATCATTGTCTTCCTAGGGAAGCAGAGGAACTTGCAGCTTTGAGGCTTGAGTGGGGGCACCCCTAGAGTAGAATCCCCACCTTTCACCTTCTTATCTAGTGCTCATTTAAATTATAAAAGCCAGCTACCAGTGTTCTTTTTAAATTTGTTTAAGAAGATGCCCTTTAAGAAACTCTCAAGCTCTCTCAGATGTAGGAGAACATTGGTAGCCCTGGATGAGGTCTCCTCTTTGCAGGCCCTGAGAGCATCCTAGGTCCCTTCAGCACAAAACAATATCCTCCCTTGAGGCCTGTCACTCCAAAGTAAAGAGGATTGGACCAGTTGGGGTGGATTCCTTCCCAACTGCCAGGCTGAGACACCTCCTGGACTGGTCGGGTGGTGCATGTCTCCCTTGTCCAACACCTGTGCCTCAAGGTTGGACCCAGATACAACTTTGTCACCAGAAACTTTTTCAAAAGCTTTGAGAAGAATCTTCAATCATGAGGCATCTGGGAAGCCCACCAGGGAATTTTGGTTGATTCTGGAAGGTTCAAAATTCCTTCGATTTTCCCAGGTCCTGGGGCAAGGGAGTGGAGGAAAGGAGGGGCTGAGTGGGCAGCAGGTCTTTTCGAATTAAAAGTACCTTCAGGAGGCCATTGCTACCTGTGGGAATAGCTGCGCTGTCCCCTGCAGTTCTTGGCTGCAGCCGCTACAACTAGGAGTAGTTGAGGTTAGTAATGTACCTGGGGCTGGGATGGATACCCTAAAGAGGGGATGTAGCCCACTACCAGGGAGGAGAGAGGGAAGTCACCAGCCTCAGAACTAGGTTAGAGGGTGGATGTTGTGTACTGGCAGAACCAGCAGTTTGCAAGTAACTCATGTTCCTGCGAAAGCCACAGGTGTTGGTTCTGTGATAATTCAATCCAGAGCAGCCAGTCCAGCCCAGCTTGGTGATGGTCGGTCTTTGCCTGTCCTGGAGAGGGAAGGATGAAGGAGTGGAGGGAGGGATGAAGGAGTGGAGGAAGGGAGGGAGGGAAGGAGGGAGAGAGAGAGAGAGAGAGAGAGAGAGAGAGAGAGAGAGAGAGAGTGCGAGAGCCAGGGGG